TATTTATTTTTCTATCTATCTCACTTTCATATCTATCTATCTATCTATCTATCTATCTATCTATCTATCTATCTATCTCTCTCTCATATCTATCTATCTATCTATCTATCTATCTATCTATCTATCTATCTATCTATCTATCTATCTATCTCTCATATCTATCTATCTATCTATCTATCTATCTATCTATCTATCTATCTATCTATCTATCTATCTATCTAATCTACCGTATCTATGTGAGACTGTGTGTCTGGAGTTACCAACTATGTACAGTAGAGCTATCATGCTGAGTATCCTGCCTCTATAAACTGGACAGTACTGCTGATGTGACCGTTTGAATGGTGCAAGTACAAAGATGATATTTTGCTGGACTTATGTAAATCTGTAAGGCTATTTTACCCAGAATTCCCAGTTAATTGTAACAATTGTCTGCTACTATTCTAGGTTTGTCAGGCGACAAAGGCGACAAAGGAGCAGTTGGACGAGGCATCGATGGTCCACCTGGTGATCAAGGAGAACAAGGTATCGCCATCATATTAGTGGGACACATTTGTTTGTCTTTATGATCACTGGCACGTCTCCTGGTGTCTGATCTGTAGGGCACTTATTTTACTCAAGCATTGTGTATTGTGTTAAAGGCTTTTACTAGAAAGCTATATACATATATCCTATATTTATATGCCCACCTAGGCGGAATCCTGCCTCCACTCATTCACTATAGAAAATTCCAAAACCGCAGAACCCTCTGAGGGTCGCCGGCGACGCGTCTTGTTGCAGCCCCTCGTTGTGATGCCATCACACCACTGTAGGACCCTGTGAGGATCTCCTCGATTGACCCAATATGAGGCATCCATAGAACTGGGCAGCAGCGTGGGCACCCCAAGTAGGGTTGTCACCTTTTCTTCCAGTGAAACCTGAACAACTAGTTACGGTCGAAAAAATATTTGGTAGAATGAGTTGCGGCTTATTCATATGTAAATAGTGCCGCCCATTTATATGTAAATATCACAGTTGAGACTATTTTTAGTGGGGGGCCAGTAGCCCCTACCTTAATTTTGGTTGCCCCTGTCTGCCTGTCATCTTGTGTCTGGGTTTCTGCTGCCATGAAACCCGGACAGAGCATTCAAAACCCGGACTGTCTGGGTGATTCCTGGACATGTGGCAACCCTAACCCCAAGGGCCCTTCTACTCTGCAGTACTCTAGATAGAAGATATGGGACCCGACATAAGGGAAAGAGATATATACATATATATCGTTTTTCTTCTTTTGTTTCACGGTCTGCCTCATAGGTGAGCGGGTTGATTTTGTTGGTTGGTTAAGAGCTTGTGGTGTTACTGTGTGAGTTTAAACCCCAATTTTAGAGCCACAATAATAATTTGAAGTGGATCTATACCTAAAACGTGTTTTTACAAAAAAAAATTTTTGGATAGCCTGGTGAAGGGTTAGCAATCTTGTTGGGTTTTGTTACTGTCTGTGACCCCTGCTCGGGAGATTTATCCTGTCTGTCTGAGTAACCAACCAAAATTTTAAGGCGGTGAGGGGGAAATCATTCAGTGGGAACATTTGCTGTGGTGACAACTATCTAAAAGGGGATTTTTGGTGGTTTATTGGTTGGAGTCCGCAGTTTTTCAATGCACGCTGAACCCGATGGCAATACTCACCTCCAACACAGATATCACGTTGGTGTGTTGGCTTGGGTGGTAATGGTTCTTCTTCTCACGGTGGGGAACTTAGATCAGATCCCTAAAGGTCAACTTACTGCTAAGCTCCTGTTTAACATGAATGCTCTACGAATGGGATTTTCCTAGCTGCATTATATAATCCTAATCCGAGGAGCCGGTACTAAATTCCCATACCACATCCTCCACCATTCTTGGTTACTAACCCCTTGAGATGGCTCCTAGAATGAATAAGTCTTGCTTTTCATTATGAACTCTACCAACCTTTTTGTCCACAACTAGAGGTCAGTTGTCCATCGGCTAAGAGTTCTCACCACAGCCACATATAAAAGAAAGCAAAAATACACAAAGCATAAAAACTGTCATCGTGCACTCTATTTACCATGAGGGAAACAAATTACTTTTAGTACCAGGATTCTGGGCCTCCAAAGGAACACACTGCCCAGTCCACATTCAGTGCAATGGGGCTAATCCATTCCGTTGAATCCTGATATCAGTTGTGAAGGCCTACCAAGGATCCAAAACTGTTTGCTTTCAGTTTTATTTTAGATTTCTCCAACCCCAATGCCAGCTAGTATAGGTATTGACTATTAAGAGAAGAGTCAGTGATTATTTTATTAACTAACTCTTGATGTACATTTTATTCACCAAGTCTTCATATTCAAAGGGCTATCTATTGAAAACCTGAGCTGAGCTGTGGCTCAGGTGTTTAGCAGTCAGTGCATAGTACATCTAAGACTGCAGAGTTGCTGGTTCAAATCTTGGTTTAGCTGTGTGACTTTGTGTTTACTCCTGAAGTAGGAGAACCAACACACAAACTGTTGAGCAGAAGTGAATAGCTCAGAGGATAAGAGCATTGACCCAGGACGCCATAGACCCAAGTTCAAATCCACAAGACGGCTGTAGACCCCAAGGGCCAACCAATGAAAGCACTGCAGACCCCAAGTGCAAATCCATGAAAGTGTTGTAGAACCCCAAGTGTGATACCACAAAAGCACTGTAGACCAACAAGGGCAAGTAAATTGAAGCACAGTAGACCTGAGCTTGAATCACTGAGTAAAAGCTTGGAGGCCATGGACAACCCACCAGTCTGCTCCAGTCCCAGGCCTGTAACATGTGTGGGCACTGCATTAGGTTGCAGACCCACCCCTTTTGGTCCAATATCTGTGACATAAATGCAGAAAACTTTTTGTACGCAGTTTTTCTGGACCAACCACATCCTGGGACAATACCCTTACCCAGGGAGCTTCAAGTACTGCTCAGCAACCAGGACACACAACACTTCTTACCCTCAGTGAGGCTTGAACTCAGGTCTCCAGCAGCACAAACCACACTCTCATCCTCTGAGCCACCACCTCAGCTCAAACATCATGAGCCTGAGCCTGAGCCTGAGCCTGTGAGCCTGTGAGCCTGTGAGCCTGTGAGCCTGTGAGCCTGTGAGCCTGTGAGCCTGTGAGCCTGTGAGCCTGTGAGCCTGTGAGCCTGTGAGCCTGTGAGCCTGTGAGCCTGAGCGCCTGTGAGCCTGTGAGCCTGAGCCTGAGCCTGAGCCTGTGAGCCTGAGCCGGAGGAGTCTGAGTCTGAGTCTGAGTGAGTCTGAGTCTGAGTCGTCTGAGTCAATGATGACATTTTATGTACTAAGTCCCGATACATAGGGAGTCGGCTGCTGAACCCCAGAGACACATCTAAAAAAATTAGAAAAATATTCTAAGTGCCACTTTTGAACCCCCTTGTGTAGGAGCTCGTTATGAATATTGTCGGAGAAATATCTCAGATAATTAGAATTTCTGGAAATTATTGAATTATGTCACTGGTCACATCTCACTTACTAAGTCCAGATATATCGCCACCACATCCAAAGGGTCGGCTGGCCCAGAGGTTTAGCACACAGCCCATAACCCAGCAGAGATTTTGGAGTCGCAGGTTCGAATCTAGATTGATCTATGTGGAATTGTGAGAACTTTTTACTCCTGAACTAGGAGAATGAACACGTGAACACATGAACACATGAACACATGAGTCGCTGAGCAGAAGTGAATAGCTCAGTGGATAAGAGTGTTGACCCAGGGCACTGTAGACCCAAGTTCAAATCCACACAAGCGCTGCAGACCCCCAAGGGCCAACCAATGAGAGCGCTGCAAACCCATGAAAGTGCTGTAGACCCCCAAGTGCAATACCACAAGAGCACTGTAGAGCAAGGGCAAGTACATAGAAGCACAGTAGACTCGAGCTCAAATCACTGAGTGAAAGCTTGGAGGCCATGGACAACCCACCAGTCTGCTCCAGTCCCAGGCCCCCACAGGCCTGTAACATGTGTGGCATCACAATAGAGTGTGGACTACCCCCTCTTCGGTCCATAGTCTGTGACATCACTGCAACATATACACAAGGGGCTGTCTTACTGGGGCAGCCCATTCAAAATTTAGGGACTTAGGGTTTTTTTGGCTCACCCCACATATATATATATATATATATATCCGAGTCACCTCCCAGGTGCTGTGCAGTATCTGAACCCCCTGGTGGTGGGACAGAGTAATGGGTCTGAAATATTTCCCACTGCTCTGCCCCACCACCAGGGGGCTCAGGTACTACCCAGGAGACACGAGGTCTTCCCTCTACAGCACTCTTGTGGTATTGCACCCAGGAGGGTCTCCAGCACTCTCACAGATTCACCCTGGAAGTCTCCAGCGTTTGTGTGGATTCAAACCCAGGTCTCCAGCGCACCAGTCAGAGCTCCTATCCTCTGAGCCACCGCCTCAGCTCAACCATTGAAGTGCTGGTTCTTCTATTCAGGAGTACCAACAGCCTGCCTGTGTATCTTAAGGCTTAGCCATCTACAGCTCTCCTTCTCTGTAGACAGTTCAGTCCTAACACCTTCATGTTCCATATACACATCTCCGGTGAGTTTAGATGGAGGGCAGCACATTGCAAAAGGCAAAGCAAGAAAATGTGGAAATCTATCACAGAAATCACGGCCATACTCACATTTCCTCCAGATGGGACCAGTGATAGATTGAGCTGCAGCTCCTCCTCGGACAGTGACAGGCCCATGTAATTGTTCAGTTCACTCAGACTGGGGTATAAACCTAGAAAGGAGCAGATGATAACACTACTGTCAGCAAACGTTCACACATGACGGGAGGAGGTGCCATTGCTGATATTCATTCTGATCCAATAGTTAGGCATGTTGTTATAGTTCTGCCTCGCTCATTTTAGGCCAATCATCTAAAGACTATTAAAGAGACAGTGTCCTGGTGTCCATGTAGGCCATGGTGACAGTGTGTCAGGTAAAGGGATCCTGTGACGTGACAACCCCCCCATACTCTCCTTAGCTGTGCTCCCTTGCAGCTACTTGCTCCCCTGCAGCCATTGAGAATATGAAGCACTTCCCGATGCAGGAAAGCATGTGGCCTCCTTCCCTGTAATAGATCCCAGGCCTAGAAGGCCATCACTGGGCTTGAGCAATGTCATGTGACCGGGGCACACACTGCTCCAGTCCCAGGCCCCCACAGGCCTGTAACATGTGTGGGCACCACAATAGATTGCGGACCCGCCCCTTTCGGTCCAATATCTGTGCAACAAAAACCTGGGCTGTCTTGCCGGGGCAGCCCAGAAAACTTTTTGTACTTAGCAGTTTTTCTGGTCATACTTCTTCCTCTCAATAATTTCACCCTCACTCCTGCATGGCACAATACCTCATCCTATTCTTCACAGTACCTAATACACCCCAGTCCTTTCCCTCCTAGGGCCTTGAAACCAGGTCTCCCACAGACCAGTCAGCACTCACCTCCTCTGAGCCACCACCTCAGCTCAAGCATTGAAGTGCTCGTTCTTCTATTTCACGATCCGGCGGAATTTATACATAAAAAAAAATCAAGGGACTCTTGAGCAGGGAGTAGCTTACCCTAAGTGAGACTTCAACTCATTGCATGAGCCCCCTGTTCTTGGGACAGAGCAATGGGCCTGACACATGTTCCACACCTGGAACACTTAATCATTAGCTTACATCTAAACCTAAGGGATTTGAACGCAGGTCTTCTGCAGACCAGTCAGAGGTCTTTACCCTTCCATCTACACCTCTGCTCAAACACCAGCATGGTCATTCTCCTGTTATAGAACTACACAGACATTCAAGAGCCAGAAAAGACTGCCAAACAATGGACTTGACCACACCAGACACAGCTCACATCCTACAACCCCCATTTCTCAATCACAAGAGATCTTGTTCTTCTACTTCACAAGTACACAAAACTTTCTTAAGACAAGAATCGGCATCTCTAACCAGCAGCACCCATATTTCTTAGGATAAATCAGAGCACGTGGCATTCACCAACTAGAAAAGACAATGTTACCCAAAGCTTAAGAAGGTAAGTCTTCATTATAATAACATTCAGGAAAGCACAAAGAGACAAATGAAAAAACACCCAATATGTTTATATAAGGCTTAGAATTTAGGTCTCTAGCTGCACATAAGAGAGCGCTATAACCCTTGGAACTACCACATTCTATTTCAGCAATATTCACAAAGTGGCTAAGCACCATTGGCATGTCAAACCTTGTCTCTGGCTCTGCAGGTCAAGCTTGACTCAACCGTCACTACCTCTCAAGCATTCCAAGTGCCAAACTACACAAGGCATAATAACCATTACCCACCGAGCTTATAGAAACCTTGCTTGACTGTGATCCTTCTGCATTATCATAGCTATAGGAGACATAAAATGAATGGCTCTCTCTTCTTTCTATTCCAGGTGCCCTAGGAGCCCTTGGCATAAGTATAGACGGCCGGGACGGTTCCTACGGCGAGCCCGGTTACCCTGGAGAGTCTGGAAGACCCGGTGCGATAGGAGCCCATGGTACCCCGGGAATATGCGACACCTCCGCTTGTCAAGGTGCCATGGCTGCAGAAAAATCGGGTTCCAGGAAGTCATAAACATGACAGCGAACTAAGAGAAGGAACTGTCTTTAATACAGCCCTCTGTCACAAAACAAGACCTTGCCAAGCATCCAGAGCGGTGGGTCTGTATCCCCAAAACGAATGGTGGAGACCAACATCAATACAGTAATGAAACAGGAGAACATCTGATAAAAGTATCTTAGGTGATTTTCTTTTTGTTTATACGTTAACTATCACCCCTATACCCCACCCCTCCCCCCAGTTATTTGTTACCTCGTCTTTAGCGTTCTTATTGGCCAACTTTGCTTGGCTTGCTCATCCCGAGTTCACAAGTCCGTGACAATAAGCTTGTCATCCAGACTAGCCAGGCCAAGCACATCCAGCAGCCTTGCCTAGCTAGAGGTAAGTGTACATACAAAGAAAAAACGTTCACAATCTGGATATCCCGCTCCTTTATTTTATTTTGCCAC